TATGTATGTGTGTGTGTGTGTGTGTGTGTGTGTGTGTGTATCTCATTGGCGACAGATAGAGCGTGGGCTCTTGCTGACCTAGGTTGCACATATAACCTCAATACGAGGGATGCTTTGCAGCGAATTGGCATTGTGCCGGATGGGCCGTATGTCGGGCCACCGTTAAGTGGGTTGGATAACATGGGTGATCTGAATAATTATCATGTGGTAGGGCATGAGTGCCTGGAAGCCTATCTGTTGGTGAGCCAGGAGCTGGTGGAAGGGCAGCCATACGCAGATATCCATGGGGTGTGATGTACTCATCGGGTTTGATCAGTTGCGGCACTCTGAGTGGGCACTTGATGTGAGCAATTAGCAGCATAATTGTGGTCCCGCAGTCGCTCATCAGGTGGCAGTGGCTCAAGAAGACGACTGTCCCTGTGCCGCTGCGAGTAAAGGCGATACTGGACCTGGGCAGGACTGGCTCCCCAGTAAGGCCGAGGAAGAAGTTGAAGCTAAGTGGTACAAAGCTTAAGAGGCTTGGGCGTAAGTCGGCGGGTAGGCGGTTGCGATGACTCGCCAAGGACTACGCGTGGAATGAAAGTGAGGGAGTCGAGACAGACTCGGATGTGAACGACAGCTCAGAAGATATGGTGCAGGAGGCACTGGTGGTTAGGATGCGTTCCCCGAGCCCTGAACGGGTGAAGGGTAACGAGGTTGTGCGATTAGGTCAGACGGGGCCTGTGTTGCATTTGAAGACCCCTAGCCCTTTGAGGGCAGGGATTGGAACCAATGCCAGATCGGTTGCCCATGCAGAGACCGAGAGCGGGATGCGAAAGCAACCGCCCCAGCTGTGTAGAAATACGGCCGCTGGTCGGTCTAACATATCAAGATCAAAAGAGATAACACATTAGTTTTTATCTGTACTTAAAATAATTTAATACAAGTTCTTTTTCTAATATTTCCAAAGTGTTCTAAATTCACTTTGATGGCTCCAATAGCTTGCGTGTATGCTTGGACCTATTTGAGACGATAGTAGATGTAGGATAGTCAAACTAAATTTTATAATCTCTGAACTACTGCTTACAGATTTTGGTCTTCCCGCCAATCTTCAAAATACAATGGGTCTTTTTCTTTTTTTAACTTTTCTTCAGATGGAACTTTATATATATTAGCTAATGTATTAACTTAACTTACGTTCTTATGTCTATCTACAGATTAGACATGTGGTTATGAACACTTAGTACTTCTAGTGAAAATTATTCAACAAAGATCAGCTAGAGGTACGTCCTGTGTGATCGAGGATGATAAGGCTCTTACCAAGAGGCAGTCCCAATCATTCTTACACAAGCTACCACTGCTAAATCCTATCTGACTTAAACTGTATCTTAGTTTATATAACAGTTTAAAACATAGAAATATCCATCGAAGTTTACATCTTTTTCAGTTATTTAGTAGTTACCGTAGTGTACTGCTTCTAGACTGTCTAACAATTGCTTACTATCCAGCGACAGGACGGTAAGTATTCTATACTACCTCATAAAGGCTAATACTACCCTAAAGTTAGCTACACGCTAGTTACTATACCTAGACCTTATTAATTTTCGTATTCTTGAGCTATTACTATGGCTAAAGGAAATTATAAAAGCAAGGGAGCCACCAGCTCTAAGCCTGCTAAGCCTGTTGAGGTTCCTGAGGTTACTGGGGACGCTGGTCTGTCTGGTACTGAGCCTGCCGTTGAAGCTGTAGAGGAAGCTGTTTCTGAGCTTGGTTCTAAAGAAACTCTGAGGATGACTCGTCGGACCCTAAAGCCTTGGAAGTGGAGGTCGTAACTGCCGCGGAAAGGCTCGCCATCATCCGTGTGCCTCCTAGTAGTGCAGCCCGGGGCCTCAGCTCGCCATCTGACCGCAAAACGTCAGATATTGGAAAGGCTATATCTCCTGAACAAATGGAGGAATAGTCTCGAGATCAACGGTATATTACTACTAAAAGTCAGCCCAATTCACCTATTATCAAAGATGATGGCATTCCATTTCGCGAAATTTCATTGAATACCTCGCCATGGAATGCCTCGCCACTGAATGTTGGGGCGGAAGACGCAAATGTTGGGGACGCCATAACTCGACAACGAGTGGCTGGATTTTCTCAATCTCAACGCCATTTGAACCGCAAAGATGAGTTTGTAGAGGAACTATCCGCTGGGCAGGTTCTGACCCCTCGATCATATCCCACGTGGCCGATATTCTTCCTATATCGAAGAGAAAAAATATTCCGAGCCGGGTTTCAAATCTGGGACCCATTGGTTTACCAGCCAGCAGGGTTACCAGTGAGTCAGTTAACGCTGGTGAAGTGGGTAAAACCTCAAGATCTAATCTCTATAGCTCGGAAGCTACAATCGATCATCCTCTCGACAAACCTAATCCTGTCAGAGGCTATGATCGTATGGAAATAGATGAGGCCTACCGCTTTCATAATATCGATTCTCATTTACAATCCTGGCAACCAAGACTTTGGAAATCGCTATACCAGTACCTCATTAGAGAGTACCCACTCGAGCTCCGAAGACGAGGAAGTGAGAACCAGACAACATCGTCTCAGGTTATTACGTTCTGGTATGCAAGTCCTTGAGGACCGTCTATTGAATGTCTCTGACCTTGACGATATAAAAGCGGATAGTATTCGCTATCTAATCAATATCAAGAGAAAAGATATAGACTCTATCTTGGCACTAGCAGCCCGTAGCACTGAGCGTGAGCCTCGTGAACGCTTCGAACCAAGCTTTATAAAGCAGCTAGGTAACGCGAAGGCTGAGATCGATTTTTCCTCTAATGAGAGTACAGTGGAGACACTGAAAGCCTTTGACCAACAAAAGGAGTCTGCAAGCCTTAAGGATAAGCAGATGATGAATGTCTTTATTCATATCTGTGAGTCAGAGGAATGGAAAACTATCTTGATAGCCCATGAGCCCAACTGGAAAGCCTTACCCTGGCGCCAGTTGCGTGAAAATATACCTAACGCCTTCTTTGAAAATGTACATGAACGTTAATTGAGGTGCTCTAGCTCATATGACACATATGACCACTCGGATGGGAGGACGTACCTATACTGGCGAATTTTTATTACTTTGTCAGATGATGGAGACTCTGGTGGCTAACTTTTTTAAGAAGGTCAATGATGATATTATCGCCTATGGTGATTTGCGATCTATGCCTTGTTTTAGGGTTGTAGTTCAAAAGCATATCAACCCATCTACTAGAGTATATAGTACCTCGAGCTTTACCCGCTAAGCGTACCGCAATAAAGAATAGCACTGCGCGTAATACTAAGAAACCTCGCACTACTGTTGGATGTGGTAAAGGCACTACTTTTACTAAACCAAAGGGTGAAAGGAAGGAAAGAGCACCTTGCAAGAAGTGTGGTTACAACCTCACTAAACGTGATGGCATGTGGAATGGTAAACACGACTCTGTTCAGTGTGCACCAGGCAAACCATACTTTGGACACAATACGAAGGAGTGTACTACTTGCAAGGGTACTAACGGTTGGCGCAAAGATGATTGCAAGGACATGCCGGACGTCCAAGTTAAGCACTGACAGTTACATATGTGTGCACTAAAGCAAGATTATGAGAAAAGTTCAATAAAATCTATACCAAGATGTTCGCCGCAGAACATAACAAACAGGTTTCTGACTAAAGGTCGTTGTCTCACCTAAAGGTGATGCTTTTCAACTTGACTTATCAAAGCATAATGAGTGGGCCAACCCACCTTGGCAACTAATCGCACAGTTGTTAAAATATGTTAATATTACTAAATTTACCATTACGTTGTGTTGTTTCTTACGTAGCTCCGACCCATAGATACGTAATTTAATTAATATGATACAAGACGAGCCTAACTATGTCGATCGTGAAACCGACACGTTCTTGTATCAGGGATCCTATTCTATTAAGAAGACACCTTGGAAACACACCATCGTTTGTCGCATCGGTACTGCAGGTACCACTAAGTAGAATCCCTCAACCGAGTTCTTAGCTAAACTAGAGGAGTCCAAGGAGTTTGCACAAAAGCTCAAGACTCGTACAACCCATGCACCTAACTAAAATGCAGTCGAGGTAATGCCGATTGAGACAGCATTAGATCGTAAAAACATGGAACTAGCTAAGGCCATGGATCAAAGACTCCTAGCTCTAAGAGTACCTGAAGCTTGCACTCAACTACTTAAAGCGCTGCTTAAAGAGCAGCCGGGAGTTGCGTAACAACTGAGGAAGATACTTCAACAATCTAATGTTGTTAATTACGTGTCTCAGGAGTCTACCCCTCCTGATACTGAAGTTGCCCTGTCTAACGGGTCTATGGTTCATCCAGCAAGCGTTACACAGAATCTGACTGACTTAGAAGAGATCGAGAGTAGAGTTAAAATAATACATAATTTAACTCATCGAGCATATGAGCATCATATAAGATGGCTAATCGAGCAGGGCTTGATCACCCGGCGCTGAAAACCCCCATAAGTGAAGTATACCGACACTGTACTGAGTGTGAAAAGAACCAGATCAAGCGCTACGGTTGGGCACCCCTAAAAAGGGTGACAGAAGACCAACCGATGCGCCGAGTCATAGACGATTTGGTTAAACTCCCGCGATCCAAGCATACTGGCGATGTATATATCTGTCATTTCTTATGTGTGGCTTCGGGCTATAACTTGTTTTATGCAATACCGAACTAACGCCCGCAAACAGTGGCAGAGTTATGCTATCACATCTGTAATGACTTCGGTTTCCCCCGAGTACTATGTTTTGATAACGGTAATGATTTTTGTACCGACGTAATGGAGTCACTTATACTCGTATCATGCATGACTCATAGGCGTGGTGTTCCTTATAAACCTCAAACGCAGGGTGCAATTGAGACACGTCATAGAGAACTAAAGAAGCTATTACATACCGCACTAGATGACGTTGAGGATATGTGGCCTTATCATTTGAAATGGGTTCAGACTCAAATGAATATCTGCATGAATCCTCAAACTGGAACACTTCCGTTTCACTATTTCTTTAGCCGCTATAGTGAATTACAAGCAACGTTTGACAAACCTGCGCCCGGGAAACACGTTACTCCGTGACTACAAAAGATCGAGCATATGCAGAACGTTGTTTACCCCTGTTTACTCGAGCACAAAAATCGTGTCCTACTGAAAGCGTATGACCGATGGAATAACACTAAGAACATTGCTCAGTTCAAAGTTGGCAACTATGTTAACATTATAAATCGCATGTTACCGAACTCTCTTTAAGAAAATTGGACCTTTTGTTATTTCCTACCATGATGAGAAGAGTGATACTTACGAAGTGAATATCATAGATGGTACTAGCGCAACTAATCTAGGCACTCACCGTATCCATACCTCCGAACTCTCATTCGCTCGTTCATTTGATTCTGATGTCCCAGTTATGGATATGGACAAAGTACCCTGGACGGACATTTAGGACTGGACCAGAGGGCTCAACCTACAAATGGAATTTTAAGACCGGACCAGAGGACCGGACCTAAGTAGAATATTTCAGGACCGTGCTCAGAGGGACCGGACCTAATATTAAGACAGAGAATTTAATATGAAAGATTGATTACTCAAGAGGTGTCGTCATAATTTAGGAAGCAGGAGACGAAAACCATAGATACGGGTATTTTCATAATTACCCGTTGTTAGTGAAATCTTGTTCCACACAGGAACGTGATAATAAATACAGCAGACGCGCTGATCATAACGGCACTTCTGACTGAGTTCACTTATTTCAGACTTAACACTTTTATTAAGTGTTACTTGGTTTTGACCACATTTTTAAGTGACCGAACTACTGTTTTTATTATACTACGTTCTGTAAAGGTTAAAGTATCTAAGAAGCAAATTAGGT